CCATACCCGTACTGATTTGACGCTTCGTCAAAGTACATCGTCCAATAGTTGTCGTCGATGTGCAAAATGGCTTCATCTGGGAATAAGTATTCAACTGCTTCACCTCCTTCTACTGGATGATTGGCTAAGAACTCTGCCACTGCTCTCACCTTGACTGCCTTGCGTGTCACGTATTTCAGGTTGAATTCGGAGAGCAACAACAACCAACGAGCTAGCCTACCCGTAAGTGCCGGTTTCTCGAAAAGATATTTGATGGGATCGAGTCGTGAAACCAACATTACGGAGTGAGCTAACAGGTAGTGCCGCAGCTTCCTGGTAGCCCATACCAAAGCTAAGCAAGCCTTTTCCAACGGCGTATAGCAAGTCTCATACTCTAGCATCTTCTTGCTCAGATAGTAGATGGCTCTCTCCACTTTGTCCTCCGATTCTTGCGCGAGCATATAGCCCATTGTGGTCTCGGTCACTGAAAGGTATAATATCAACGGTTTCCCCGGCTCTGGCGATGATAACACGGGCGGGTTCTGCAGATATTCCTTGATCTGTTCAAAAGCAGCTTGGCATCGACCGTCCCATTGGAATTTCTTGCCTTTCTTCAGGAGACCAAAAAGTGGTTCACAAGTCAAGGTTAATTTTGAGATAAACCGTCTTATGAATTGCACTTTACCCAGAAAGCCTCGCACCTCCTTTTCAGTCCTTGGTGGTGGCATTTCTAAGATGGCCTTGATCTTTGAAGGGTCGACCTCGATGCCCCTTTGTGTAATCAGAAATCCCAACATTTTTCCAGTCGTAACACCGAACGTACACTTCTGAGGATTTAGCCGCAACCGAAATTCTCTGATCCTTTGAAAGAACTTTTGCAAGGCGATGTAGTGGCCCTCTCTTTCTTTGGACTTGACAATCATGTCGTCCACGTACACCTCAACCTCTTTGTGGATCATATCATGCAATATTGTAGTCGTGGCCCGTTGATATGTAGCTCCAGCATTCTTTAACCCAAACGGCATCACTCTGTAGCAGTAAGTCCCCCACGGGGTGGTGAAAGTAGTCTTTTCCCTGTCTTCTGGTGCTATCACTATCTGATTATAGCCTGAGAAACCATCCATGAATGAGAGCAAAGCATGCCCTGCGGTGAAGTCCACTAACTAATCAATATGCGGCAAGGGAAAGTCGTCCTTCGGACTAGCTTTGTTCAAATCCCTAAAATTTACGCACACTCGGATCCTGCCATCCTTCTTCGGCACTGGGACGATGTTGGCAAACCAAGTCGGGTATTCGGATACTAGCAGGAAGCCTGCGTCGATTTGCTTGGTGACCTCTTCTTTAATCTTGAGAGCTCAGTCCGGGCGGATCCTTCTGAGTTTCTGCTCGACAGGTCGGGCCTCGGGGTCAAGA